ATAAAATCAATGTTTTAAATCAGAGTCTACAATGCAACAAGAAACACACTCACAAACTTAACACTGCATCTAAAGCCGGTGTCAAATTAAAATGAAATAAAATCGTTCCAAATAAGACACCAGAAACTACATAGAATGAAATGGAAAAAGAAATCACGCTTAAAAAAAACACTCAACTTAAACCTCATCATATCCTATTCCGCCAAAGGGGCCGGGTGGGGGTGGGAATTGGGAGTTCACGAAAAATGGTGGCAAATTTTGGAAGTTAGGTTGGAACTGTTGGACACTTGGAGTAGGTTGTTGGAAGGATGGTTGTGGTTGGTTAAAATTAGGGGGTGCTTGGGGAAAAGGAGGCGACAGCTGTGAGAAGTTTTGAACTGGAGGTCGAAGATGGCCAGGAGAACCCTTATATGGTGGAGCGGGGTTCATATAATATGGATATTGTTGCTGCACGTAGGGCCCTGGCTGATTTGTTATGGTTTTCAATGTTCTCAATGCGTAAAACAGCATTTGACTCTCGTTCATGCCCAAGAACAACTGTTGACAATTAGGGTTCCAATTTATATACTCCATGAACAACATCGTCTGTTCATCGTCCAGTAACATCTCACTAATAATTGCCTGACACTTCTGGAACGTTGTATTATGGGCTTCCACCTGCACAGAAGCACCTGAACTTGTACCTCGACTACTCTGACGCTCATACAGTGTAGTTGCAATACTTTTCAAAATAGATTTTACCTCGGAATCCACACCCCGTGGTCTACTTTTGCTATTACGCTTCGATATATGTCGAGATGAAGAGGCAATGTTCAGTGGGCGAGTTGATGAGTTTAAAGCCCCTCTCATTGTGTTGATAAATATGTCCTCATCCTCCAAAGGTTGTGAAGTGCCGCCCTTAACTTCATGCTCCCCTACTAGCGGCTCAGACACGTCACCCTCCTCATCATTCTCTTCCATCCCCGCCTCAAATGCACCGCGGGCACGCCTACTAGCAAACGCTTCGTAGTAGAGCTCATAATTTTTGAGGGGGTCCTTACGTGCACGTTTCGCCCACTTGTATGTCTGTTTAACACATAAACCAAATAAAGTAAAGTCTAGTTACTAGAGGATCCTTATGCAGCAATGTATGTAGAGAATGTACCATCAAATTATGTAATAAAGTATGCTTCCTTTTTTGCAGAGAATACTAGTATGGCATAGTGTTTATATGCCTATACATATCACATAACCTAATTACATGCAGTAGCAACTAATAAATGCCAGAAATCAAAAGGATATCGCTACAACGAAACTGATATACCAAAAAAAATCATCACTGCCAAAGTACTAAATCCAATAAGAACAAAGAGTTCATCTGCACAACAATGCCATGTATGAACTCATGGGTGAATTGTACTTAAGTCTTGCACTCTAAAACATAACCATCAGCAGAAACAAAGGGATTTATACATCCTCAAATGAATGAAACTAAAGCAGATTAACTACTTCTTATCAATCATGGGTAAATTATACTTAAGTCTTTCACTCTAAAACATAACCATCGGCAGAAATAAAGGGATTAAACATCCTCAAATGAATGAAAGTAAGCAAATTAACTACTTCTTATCAATCATGGGTGACTTATACTTAAGTCTTTCACTCTAAAACATGACCATTTGCAAGAACAAGGGATTAAACATCCTCAAATGAATGAAAGTAAGCAAATTAACTATTTCTTATCAATCATGGGTGAGGTATACTTAAATCTTTCACTCTAAAACATGACCATCGGCAGAAACAAGGGATTGAACATCCTCAAATGAATGAAACTAAAACAAATTAACTACTTATCAATCATGAGTGAATTATATGTAAGTCTTTCACTCTAAAACATGACCATCGGCAGAAACAAAGGATTAAACATCCTCAAATGAATGATTAACACTATTTCCAGTTTTCCATGACCATAGGCAGAGACTATTTCCAGTTTTCCAGCTAATAAAGATTAACACCAAATATATACATATGTATACACTTAAAACTTTGTTCTATATTTATTTGGCTTCGATTTGTATTTTATACAATGTTGAGGTGATTATAGTAGATATATATGTATATATGTTTATGTAGTTATCATGGATATATACATGGTGGTATATGACAGAGCTGCATTTCAAAATTTGGTGGTTTGGATTTTCAATGGCCTCTATTTCAGGTTCAGCAGAAAAATGGTGAATGAAATGGAAAACAATGGTAAAGGGTGAACTGGTTTACCGAGTTGGATCCGGTCGATGAATGTGTTTGCTCCTCCAACAAAAACCCTAACCGTGATGTCGATTCCCTACCAGAATTTCTACACTAGCGATACCGACCGCGAAAAAAGCTTAGATGAATACAACGGTGCAGAGGTTGGCGTCGCCGGTTGCGGCTACATCTACCCAAAAGAATGGCCAACGGAGTCCGCCGAGAGCATCTAGTTCGCGCTATTTTCCCCGTTTTGGGCAAAGCAGGGATGGCAGAGGAAAGGGATCCTCGCTCAAAAGAAGGTAAATATTTTGAACTCCAGCACGGCAGAATCAGGGAAAGACTCTCGATTCAAGATATTTGCAGCGAATCTCTCCTGTGGATGATGGGAATCGAGAGCGTGGAGAGACCGGTCGGTGAAAATAGTAAAGGAGGCAGAGCAACGGTAAGGAGGAAATGGATCCTCGCTCAAAATCTGTAGAACTCCAGCACGTGAGAGAGGGGAAGACTCTCGATTCAAGATATGTGCAGCAAATCTCTCCTGTGGATGATGGGAATCGAGAGTGTGGAGAGATCTGTCGGTGGAGCTCAGAAAGGAGGCAGAGCAACGGTAAGGAAGATAGGATTTACGAGGAAAAAGCTAAGAGTTGTGGCAGATGGCTTTTACTGTAGCCATTGGTTGGAGTTAATGGAATACAGAGGGGGTTGAATTCCATTCTCGGGCATTTAACTCGAGTTTCAATTTGAGTTATAATCGTGGCTCTTCTTTCCGAATGCGAACTGGAGTCACAGTTTCAACTCGAACTGGCCCAATTCGAGTTAAACCCACGAAGTGAACATGGCCTAAATCAAAGCAAATAATATTGATGCGTAAATAATATTATAAATCAGCAATCTGAGTGGAACAAGGGAACATCAAAGAAACAAAACTTTTTATACCTTTCTTGGAGCAGTGAGAGTTCCATCAACATGAAATAGAGCAATCACACCAGGCTTCCTCAACGCCATTTGCACTTTTCACAATTCTTCTACGGGAAATTGGGTTGGGTGGCTGATTCTTCACCCAACCAAAAATTTATGACTGCAGTTTTTTGAATTTTTAATATATGGCCAATCATTTAACAAATATTTTTAGGTTTTCCTAAAAAATACTCAAACTATCCTAAAAAGAAAGAAAATCCTATAAATTTTAAAAACTAAAAAAAAAAAAAAAGTAAAGATGTGAACTTTGGCTTCAGCGGTTTTGGGTAATAGGTATAAAGTTAATTTGGAGGGGGAAAAAAAGAACTTTTGTTTAAATCAAGACGAAGCGGATTTTATAGCTTGCAAAAATGAAGAGAGTGGACAGAGATATTTATTAAGTTCGTTAGAAGATGTAGAAGATACGGAGCTCTCGTTTATCGCCTCCTTTTACTACATTTGGATTTCTCTTCCAATATTGCAGGAAAAAAAAAGAGTTTCAGATCATATTGTCACTCAAAAGATCAGGTTGTAACAGTTGCAGAAAGATTTATGTGGGTTTTGAGTTGGATTCTAGAAGAGTGAGTCAAATGACCGAAAAAAGTGTGATTTCTAGAAGAATGAGTCCGTCGAGCGTGAGAGATCTGGGAGAGTAGAGGCTTTACCTCATTGCAAGCGAGATTGGAGAAAGGGGAAGCTTCGCCGTCGTTACGAGATCCGATCGAGGGGAAATTCGCCGACAGGCGCGAGATCCAAACGAGAGGAAGGGCGGGGTGGTATTTGATTTCGTAATAGAATTCGGATTATTATCACGGTACCCTTCAACTTTAAAATTATTTTTAATTTATTTTTTAAACTTTAAAATTTTTATTTTTATTTTTTAAATTTTAAATTGTTCTCTTTTAATTTTTTATATTGTAATTTCTATTAAAATTGATAGAAAAATTAAAATAATATAATTATGTGGTATTTTTATTTAAATTTTTATTAAAAATAAATATATAAAAATCACGTGATAATTTTTAATCTCATTTTTTTCCGTTTAATTTTAACAAAAAGAGTTAAGTGAGAATAATTTAAAATTTAAAGATAAAATAAGAGTTCTTAAAGTTAATAATAATCTTTCTTTCGAATACCTTCTCAGAGAGCTTTGAATCGTTTTTTCATTTTTTTTAAGGTAAAGAACTTAAAATTTAATTCGAGTTGAGATATAACTTTTTGTGAAAATTTTTTATTATAACAAAAAAAGTTAGATATGATTTTTGTGAGAACTTTTAACTGTAGTAAAATTAGAATTAAAAATTCGAATCAGTATAATAAATGAGGCCTATATTACGGCTTCAGCTTTCTTTCTTTTTTGTTCGTTTGAGTATTTTTTTTATTTAATGTATTTTAATTTAAAATTTCTTTATTATTTTTTAGTTTTCTTTTGAGAGTATTTTAATTAAAAAGTGAATGTTCACAAGTGTGAATCTGATATATATAAATTCTAATTTGAAGGTACGTATTTGATAAAATTAAAAATTTAATGTATATTTTTAAATAAACTTAAAATATAAAGTATAAAAAAGTAAATAATCATTTGATATATCAGTTATTAGACTTTAATTGTAACTGATTTTAAAATTTAAGATATATTTTGTTAAAATTAAAAATTTAAGGTGTATTGTACAAAAGTAACTAGTTTGAGGTGCGTCAATATAATTTACTCTAATAAAAAAAACAAAACAAAATAATTATAAAAAAAAAAAAGAAAAAAAAAAAGAGACTTCCGTGCAGATGCTAAAGGTACGCGCATTCTCTAGTGGTCATCTTCCTTTGCTTTGCCTTGCTTTGCTTCCTCATTAAGCCAAAAACCTTAGACAAAATTCTCACCAACACGAACATACTCAAAAAACGACAACGACACTCGAAACTCCCCAGAGACTTTTTTTATCTCTTTCCTTTTCCCCTTTATTTTCTCGCTCTCCAAACACCCTCCATCCGATCCCTATCCCAATCCCAATGGTCCCGCCGGCGAGCCCATCTCCGCCGAACCCCCAACTGACCCAACAATTTCTGAGCTCCGTTCTCTCCCAGCGCGGCCCCTCCGCCCTCCCTTACTCAGAGGACACCAAATGGCTCATCCGCCAACACCTCGTTTCCCTCGCCGCCGCCTTCCCTTCTCTCGAACCCAAAACCGCCACTTTCACCCACAACGACGGCCGCTCCGTCAACCTCCTCCAGGCCGACGGCACCGTCCCCATGTCCTTCCAAGGCGTCACCTACAACATCCCCGTCGCCATCTGGCTCATGGAATCCTACCCCCGCCACCCGCCCTGTGTCTACGTCAATCCCACGCGCGACATGATCATCAAGCGCCCTCATCCTAACGTCAACCCCTCTGGTCTGGTTTCGATCCCGTATCTCCAGAATTGGGTATATCCGAGCTCCACTCTTGTTGATTTGGCGAGAAATCTGAGCGCTTTGTTTGGCCGTGATCCTCCGCTTTACTCGCAGCGAAGACCAAATCCGAACCCTAACCCTAACCCTACTCCTAGCCCGAGTTCGAATCCGAGTCAGAATCCGAATCCGAGCTACGCGCGGCCTGCGATTCCGCCTAGGGCTTATCCGCCGTCGCCGTACGGGAGCGGAGGATCGTCGATTTCGCGGCCGCAGAGCGATGATCCGACGGAGGTGTATCGGAAAAACGCGATCAACAAGCTTGTGGAGGTTGTTCATGGTGATATCTCCGGGATGAGGAAGGCGAGGGAAGCGGAAATGGAAGGGATGTTTAGCGCTCAGGCTGTTCTGAGGCAGAGAGAGGAGCAATTGAGCAAAGGGTTGAAGGAGATGCAGGACGAGAAGGAGGGTTTGGAGCAGCAATTGCAGATGGTGTTGATGAATAGTGATATTTTGGAGAATTGGTTGAAAGAAAACGAAGGGAAGAAGGCGAATTTGGAGAGCGTCGAGGTTGACGATGCGTTCGAGTGCTTAGATTCGCTGTCGAAGCAGATGTTGAATTGCACGGCGGGCGATTTGGCCGTGGAGGATGTTGTTTATGCATTGGATAAAGCCCTTCAGGACGGTGCAATTCCATTTGATCTGTACTTGAGGAATGTGAGGTTATTGTCCAGAGAGCAGTTCTTCCACCGCGCCACCGCTGCTAAGGTCCGGGCTGCGCAGATGCAGGCTCAGGTTGCCAACATGGCGTCAAGGATTTCGCAGTTTATTTCGTGATAATGGAGATGATGAATGTGATTGCCTTCGCTTCTGCTGAATTATCCCGGCGTTTTGATGATGGGGATGTTATGAAAGGAATGGTATTGAGGTCAGATTCTTGTGAAAAATTTGTATTTGATAGGAAACATAGTATATTTTGCTGTAAGAAGAAATATGTTCTTTGGAATAATTGTCGTTGCAGGGATCAATTTTTGGTTTGATTTTTATTCATATATCAATGTCATAAATTCATTTCACTTGAAGTTTTAGTCCTTTGGTTGTAGAGTTTTTATTACTTCATACATTTCTCATTCTCTTGCTGCGTTGTTGTCTATTATTATCATGCTTAATAATGAAAGTTGTACTTCCTGAGAATTGCTATCCATTTTTCATTGGATCTGCAAGCTTCTAGTGTGTGCCACTATGTTGTAGGACAACAAAGTACAGTTTACTTTTAACTGAATTGAGTTTCATGACTTCTCGAGGCATATATATAGATCATGAGTCAAACTACTCTTGCAGTTGCAGAGAAATGGTGAATTTTATCTTTGTAAAAGTCTTATCTTGCAAATGTATTTCTCATAAGATCATGAAGCTTTTCATTCCTTCTCATCTACCTTTCTTTCACAATTTCTCTTCCTCTTTTGATATTATGAATTCATATTTCGTAATCACTTGTTCGTGTTCATGTTTGTCTGCTGAAATATTAGATTAGAAGTTGTTAAATGCATATTCCTCCGTTTTATGTTGGATCGCATGGTGCCCAAGTGTCTGTCCAAGTCTTATAGATGGATTTGATATTATTGGGTGGAGAAAGAGAGATTCTGCATGACTGTTGAACTGTGAACTTGGAGAATGCTCTGCACAGACATCGTTCTGAATAAGTTTTTAATAATTTCCGATTCCTTAGTTACTATATAAAGAACACCGTTTATATCTTGGTTCTTTCTTACTTTTGCATCAGTCTTTTGATGCAGGAGTGTTCTCGCCCGGCTTTATAGTGAAAGTCGGTGTTTTCGTTTGAATTTCTTCAATGCGTCCCAGTAACTACTATCCTTTCATGGAGAATGTCCAAGGTTCTGGCGATTGCCAACTGCTGTAAGGCATCTATTGGACATTTTACATGTAACTGAGTTGAATATCATGAGACATGAGACATGATGTGTGGGGTTTTACCATTTAAGAATGGAAAACAATCTTTGCCTCGTGATTTTTAAGACTGCCGTTATACAGAAAGTTTGGAAGTGCCGTTGTCTAGCTTACAAAGCTTAAAGCTGATGTATGAAATTGTGCATATTTTCCTCCTTCCCCATATACGTATATATTTTCTTGTCGCTATAAATTCCTTCAATTCACCTGTTCATACTTGTCTGCCAACGGGAAATTGTGTCAAGAAGGTGATGACGGCTGGGAAGAGTTGTTATTAAACTGCAAAATAATGGAATTGAAAGTTGTTCAGAAAGATGTCAGTGCGGATGGTTGACGATGATTGTTCTTTTTAATTCTTGTTTTTTCGTTACCATATTCATGGTCTGTTGTTAGTCATGACCAGATTATGTTTAGAACGCTGATATTATGCCTAGGTAGCATGGGCCAGGATTTTATGTTGATGATTTTGTAGTTTCAAACTCCTAACCTATTGGCACCTGTCTTGATTTTATGACTTGCTCCAACACAAAACTATGGTCGTGTTTAGAATTGATCTTATTTTTATTTTTTACGTTTTTTGATAAAGAAAAAATAAAAACGTTTTTAAAACGGTGTTTGGCGCAATAAAGATAAAAAACAAAAATGAAAATAATTTTTTAGTTTAGTATAAAATGAGATAAATAAAAAATGATTTTTAGTCATTTTTTTATTTTTTATTTTCGTTTTCTCCTCTCTTAAGTAGAGAGAGAAAGAGATATTAATGGGTTTTTTTACATTGAAAATAAATCTCTTAATAAAACTATTAAACGCATTTTTAAAAATAATTTTTATTTAAGATTGAAAACGTTTTAATTTTTATTTTCATGTAAAAAATAAAATTATTTTAAAACGAGTTTTAAACGCGCCTTGTGTTTTTCGGTTATTGCCTATGATAACCCATTTCATTGTTGGCCATATTTTGTTCAAAGTATTTCGGCTTTTTTTTTTTTTTTTTGTTATATAGCTCGAGGCGGTTCAGTTTGCACTACAACTACAGTGGCCCAGCAGGTCCTAGCTAGAGCACTTGCTTCTTATAACAAGCACTAGTGAGAAACACGCGCGGATATGAAGATCTAAAATTTCTTTTAAATTTTATTTTTAATGTGAAAAATTAGTAAATTGTTTATAGGATACATTTAAAAAATATATATTTAAGAAGGTTGTATGACAAAAATGTTTAGGCATGAACAAATACCTGACGAAACGGAGAAGGATGAAATCCAAGGGGTACTTTTGAGGCTTTTATATATTGTAATAACTTCAGTAGTCAATAAATTTTCCAAGTTCCATTTTCACTCTTAACTGAAGTTAGACCTCAACATTAGAGACATAAATCTAGACCTCAACATTGGAGATAGGAATGTCGATTTACCTCTGCTATGTCCGCAACCACAAAAAGCGCAACACTAGAAGAATAAAATATATAAAATAGATTAAAAAAAACGAAGTTAAAATGAAGGTAGAATGTTAAAAGTAGTATGTTGAAGCATCCTGTCGCACATGAACACCTAATAATGGCATGCGTATATCATGCAACACTCTTTAAGTGGCGATGGTGGCCATTTAGCCCCATCACACACTGTTTATTGTTGCATATAAAGCCGAATTACGTCGTTAGATGTACAATAACTTATCGAATCATTTATCACTTGTTTTCTTAGCAAAAAGAATTTGTCATTTGTTTTGCTAGAATCTAATCACATAGCAGTCATTATGTGTAATTGTGTCATTTCATCAGAAAAGAAAACATTTTTCAATTGGACCAAAAGCATGGTGACCATCTCATCTAAAAAAATAAATAATAAACAAATAAAGAAACACGGCGACCATCACACCTGGTCTCTTTTTTAGGGTGCTTGAAATGAAATTACACAGCCGTGTAATGGTTATGGTCTACGGATAAGAAAACAGAGGACACTGGCGGTGACATAAAATTGTATACACACTTGCAAGAACTTAATTGGTAATAGTTGAAGAAATTCTAAATAATCAGCATCAACAAATAAAAATCATACTAGAATCTTCTTGGACCACATCTAGAGGACTAGGTGGTTTAAGATGGGGACGACTCCTCTCCTCAGGCCCTAACAACACTTGTGATCCATCTAGGTGGTTTAATATGCATAAAACTTTACTCGGACATGGAAACTCTACATTGAGCCTCCAGATAATATTCAAGTAGATCTTGTCGCCAACTGATTGTCCACAAACACACCTACAATTGTTCAAGGACCCGAACTAGAGCAAAATTTCCGACGTACCAGATGTACGAGTTTGCCCCGTTCACTACCCAAGTGAAGTCCTTGCTACTCGAAATCAAACTCCTTTAACTCAGGTTGCGTCTAGGATGAAAGTTTTTTTATGCTCGAGCTGGTGCATTAGACTCGTACGTACGTTGGTATACTTCTAACAGCAACTTAATCACTTCAACATCTTGACGCTTCTATTCATTTACAATCCTAGCTGAAAGTTTTATCCCTTCTAGAATAACGTATGACCTACAAAAAACGAAATAAACATTTAAGAAGTAATGAGAAAAGGGAGAAAGCAGAAGACAACTAAAAGAATAAAACCCATACTACATTAGTTGAAATTGCAACCATAGTAACTCAAATAACAGGGGAACCAAAATTTGTTTAGGGATAATGAAACAACCGCCCGAGGTGATATTCTTCTCCATTTGTGATATGAAAGTCAAACATGCTGTTCACTGTTGAGCACCTAACATAATGAATGGTCAAAGAAGACTTTTCAACTTTTCAGGCTATTGCATCCTACTGCTAATTCCCTGTGTTTGACCACAACTACTACTCAAACTTGTAGTGCAAGAGAGAGAGAGAGAGAGAGGAGATTATTCGAGTAATCTTTTTTTCTTTTTTTGGATGTCTACAGTTCTATACCCTGCATTTCAGGCTATTAAAAAATTATGCTCAACATTTTTAACTAATTCACTTTTATACCTTTATATTACAAATTTGTGCTCAATCTTAAGACCTCTTTTCGGTTAACTCTCAATTTCTGACCTTTAAAATTCTGAGAATACTCTGATTAATAATGCATTACTTCTATTCCAGTAACCAAACAAAATTTATGATTTCTGTGGACAGTTGGCTAAGAAACGGTGTACATTGAGCATAAATTGGCAACCTAAAGGTATAAAAGTGCAAGATTCCAAAATGCAAGATATCAACTTTTAATAACCTCAAAATGCAGGGTACAAAAATGTAAATTTCACTTTTTTTTTTTTTAAAGGGAACTATTTGAGTAATCTAAAATGGTGGTAAATTGCAGTCACATTAATGAAGAAAAAGTAATGGGTACGAGGTGGTGCATCATTTGTTTATAGTAGCAACTAAGAACTGTAAGGATCTCACCTGCTGACGACTTTGGAGTTGCATCAATAAATAAATAAAAAATAAAAATAAAAATAAAAAACTCAACTTCATTCAGCATTAACATTTAATCAAGTGATACGTAAACTGTCTGAAATATATTTAAAAGCGCACTAAAACCTTTTAAGATATGATGCCAACAACGTTGCACGCAAGACAGAAGGGGAAAAAAAGTTAAGGATCAATTTTGTACCTGATTTACAATAGAACCAAGAGTTCGAACAAAGCACACAGCAACTTTCTTGACAGCTCTGATGGTTGTATCTAATATAGTCATGCACAAGAGAAAGTGTTGCTACACCTGGTTCGACAGGTTTACCGGCAGCATCTTCTCCTGCATACACTAACTTGTTAGAGGTTATCATAGTAATTAACAAAACAACGGAATAGTGGCCATTTGGGAAAACTGGAGCAAAAACCAATATATGTTATTGGACGAAAATAAGAAAACAGAAAAAACCACAGATCAAATGAGTAAATGAACGCAAGGAATTGCAAGGGGTTATAGCCTCGAAATGAGACAGATTATAATGTGATATGATTGCCACGATTATGTTGATGATATACCATGAAAAGTTCAAAATGTTCAAACCATGTGTTATAGTATTAACAAATGTTAGCTCGCGTTCTAACAATTTGAGCTTTTACGAGAATGGTAAATTAACATGGTACGAGAGCAAGAGGTCCCCAGTTCAAACTCTTGCAGGAGTTCTTTCTTCCTAGATTATGATTAATTACATTGCTGTAATATAGCCCAACTATTGCAGTTCTTCTCAATTCTCATAAATTAGTTGGATACTTTATGATTATGAGAAATACAATTTTTATTTCATACCATTTTCGTAAAGAGAGAAACTACCTAGCCTTTAGTTTTTGGTTATAAGTTTTCCATAATCGAGCAAGATTCTCCCTCAGACTTTATCAAAAAATAGTTATCCAATTATCCTAAAGATATTGCAAGATGAATTCAGAGCAACTGCCAGTTCAGTTAATGGTGAACCCTAGAACAAAAGCACCATGTTTCTTTCTTCCTCTCTTTATTGTTTACTGTTTCAGAAAAAATAAATGTAGAAAAATAACTAAAAAATAGCCTGGCAAAGAACAGTCCTGAAGAAAGAGATGAAAAGAAGCCTAACCCTTCTACAGCTTCCTTGCCCTGCATAGCTGCAAAACTTGCAAGTTTATGTATGGCCTCAAAATTCTTTTCGCCCATAGCCTCTTTATTGAAAATGGCGTCTGATAAAACAACTGAAGATGCTCCCTTAGCTATGTATTCCCCAATTGAATCTGTATAAGAATAGAAAGGAAATTCCCAAAAAGTTGGGTGTGCGTGCCAAGCATTATTAAATTAATCTCTCGCTTCTAGCACACACAGGTTGTACTAGCAGGAAAACAAAAGAAAAAATTAGTAACCTAATTTGTATTTTAAATACTTTTCTTCAGGATTGAGAAATGCACTATTAAATGCAAATTAAGAATTGACGTTTTTTGAAAGCAATGCTGCTGGAAGCACTCAACAATAAAAATAGATAACTAGATGGGATGGGAATCTCCATTTTGTGACAACAACAATACTAAGCATTCCAATATATGTATCGTATTTACACACAACACACGCGCGCATAAAGAAGGGTTAAAAACTGCATGATAAGATACATTCTTTCTCCATGTTAAGCATTGGAAAAAGAAAATTCATCGTTTTCTGTGTATATGCTATGTGATAGAAGCGCACCTACAGTAATTCCTTGAGACGCAACCATTGAGATGTGTGGAAAAGGCTTCTTGATTGCTGATATATACTTTACACCACCTAATGCTGAAACAGGATAAACCTATTCCCCCAAATAATGTGAAGATTACAACTCTGATAAATTTAACTAAGCTACATATTTCTCAGATGAAGTAGACGTATGAGCTACAGCTTTCTAAAAATAATTTTTTAAATGCAACGATGAATAATTTGATCAATCCACATTCATACAAACTTGAAGAATGCAAACTTAGATAGCTTAAGACAAAATTTCAGAACACTACATACATTATAAACTACCTTATTTAACTCTGCAAGGCTCAAGATAATTAAAGGAAGTAAGATTTACACAAACGTTATGTTGCAAAAAGTATATAATTTTGTAACATGATGACCAAATGTAATGATTGCATCTAAATCTACTATCAACCAACTCTAACATGATAAACTTGCAAGACTTACCTTGACCATTTTGGCACCAGCATCATGAGCAGACAATATCTGTAAACAACAGAGATATTCTTATTTTCACCATTAAGGGTGAAGTAACTATCGGTCATAATGTCAAACAGAATGTTAGGTCATATTTACACTCAGAGAAAGCATATATAGACTTTTCAGTTGCAATGACGAGTGTGGAAACTAAGAAGATAAACATCACAAAAACACGTGTTAAATTGAAAGCCAAGTAAATTTTAATAATATCTTACCTCTGTTGGGGTCATTGCACCAGGTATGTACAACACTTCACCACTCTGGAAACCATCCATAACATCCTGATGCATGATTAAAGATATTAAATACTGGTAATAAGCATCCTACAACTACTTTCATTGGACTTTAACATGGAAAATCGTGATATGACAAGGAGATGGAGAGAAAATTGGCTAGACATATAAGCTTACCTTCACCATAGCAGGGCTCATAAGGAATTTGGCTCCAGCACCTACTGCCTTTTTAGCATCCTTGACACTAAGAACAGTCCCAACCTGGAGAATACTTCGTCATTTAAGAAAAGCTAATGAAAACATTTCAAAGAATCATGGCAATGTTACGAAATCTAAAAGAAATAGGAAAATTATTACTCCTAAAACCGTTGTAGGATAGTCATGCACCAGCTGCTGAAGAACCTGAAAAAAGAAAAGAAGAAAAAAGGAGTATAAACTATCATACTAGGTTTTGAGAAAGTATTAGCAAAAAAGAGGAGGGAAAAAAGAAGAAAAGAAAAGAAAAACACACAGGGAAGAGAGAATACATATTTTTAACAACCTCAAACACACCTGGGGTCGACACTACAATTTCCAGCTACATAGAGAAAAGGATAAAGAAGATTAGAAACGTATCAGTAGGTGATATAGCATGGATATAGACTATATCATAACCAATGCAAACACCAAGTAACTATTTCTTTACACCCACACAAATGTTGTTCAACTTTCTAAATCAGAAGACCAGTAGTACCAAAAACCAATCTACAAGAAACTTGAATTAATCACAACTGTCAAGTCCTTCCAATTATATCGTGTGGGCTGTAACTTCTTCAAACAATACAGCTGATTTCTCTGTCAAGTCCTTCCTAAAGTAGTATTCGCATATCAAAAAATGCACTAAAATATGAAGTCTGCGATGCTTGATGTGTAAAAGAACTTTAATATTCTCTTTATTTGCAGAATAATGACTCGAATGATCAGTCTATAAACAAAACTTCCAAAGGAAAGACTCACAACTGAGATTCCACCGATAAGAGCAGCCCGGGCAGCTTCCATTGCCAAATCTGCGCTACAAAAAAGTAACTGGAAAGTGAGCCATAGTTATTCGCTAATTTATAAGAAATGATTCAGCATAAATTTGGTTTTTTCCCAACATCTGGGATAAGACCGGGCAAGATCTCCTGATGTCAAAAAATAATATTTTTCACCAATATCTTGTATTTTTTTTTTTTTTTTGGATTTTCAACCAACTTAATTTGTCAATCGCCAGTAAGAAGTACTGTAATTAAACGCAATAACCAAATCTTGTACTATATCATAAATGCAATGACGAATAACAATCTCTCACAAGAAAGAAACAAACACAAACGAAATTGAGCACAAAGAATTCGTCTAACAGAGCGTCGAATTTCACAACAATGGATACACAATCAAGAACCAAAAAAAAAAAAGAATACCTAGTGGCGCGAAGGCAAGCGATGACTCCAGAGCTCTGAATTCGCGCCAAGGTTGAGCGGCGAGAGACACAACAGAAGAAGCTACGGGTTCGCCGAGGCGGCGGCGACAATGGCGGTAGTGGCGAGCTTCGAGGGAGGACCAGACACGGTGGAGGCCATTTGTTGAGGGTCGGACAAGGAATCACCATATCCAGTTGCGAGAGACAGTCCGAAGCTGAATGTCTGGAAATGAAAGTGCTGGTTTTTTTATTCACCACTCTTAACTCAGAAATGGAGGTTACGTGTTGTTTTTAGCGGGACTCTGTATTTGGGATGATAGATTTGCCCCTTCTTTTGTTTTTAACAATTTTGTGCGCCTCGGTTCAAATTTTAAATTTTAAATTTTTTTTATTATAATTAATTTTTTTTTTTAAAATACCACATCTTAATTTAAATTTAAAAAATGAACGATACTATAAACTTGTAAATGTGTTGTGTCATTAGTCTTTGTGTTGATTAAAATTTAGATGGAATTCGCATGTGACATTCTTTTAAGGGGTCATTATTTTTTCTTTCAAACATATAATTTTTCGGATAAAAATGATGTGTGATTTTTACAAATAAAGGATTTATCTCGACTTTGATGAATTCTTTTTTTTTTATTATTCATCGAGTAAAAACCATTTATTTACTACAAAAAACAATATGCAAAATTTGGCCTAATATCTATCATTTTGTATATTTAATAAATTCATTATTTATAAAGTTATTATAAGGTTTTAAACACTATTATCCCCGAATATGAATATTGTATTATTAACATGTTATTATTATAATCCAAGATATTTTGTTTGAGTATACCACTTAAATTTTAATTTTCTCTTAATCAGTTGAAGCTAGTTCAAAGGTGAGTTATTTTAGTGTATTTAGTTCATGACGGTGTGTTTAGTCTGGGGGAAAAGAATGAAATATATCTTAATTTTCTTTTCCAAGATAAAATACAAAAAAAAAAGGAAAAAACAATAATTTCAAAGAAAAATACATCAAACAGAAATGGTCAAAAATATATGTCCTCAAAATCATATCACCCCCTTCAAAAAAAAAACAAAAGTCACATCACCCGAATAAAGCCAATAAAGATAAAGGAACCACAACCGGTCAACAACACAATTATCAACAAAATAAAAACAAAATTACAATTAAAATTAAAAATTTACAGAAAAGAGTTCATTTTAATTCCTCCTTTTTTTTACAGCAAGAAAAATATCAAATCCTAAAAATTTAAATGTACATTATCCAAAAAAAAAGAAAAAAAATGCAAAATTATATTAGAGATAAAGAGGGGCAAAGCAAGAGTATAGAGATAGGCCATGGCCATGGCTTTGAATCCACTTTTCATACCAAATCCTATTTCTTTTTCCACAACCAAGACCATAATCACCAATAACACATTTCCCTCGTCCAAAAACTCCATATTTCACTGCAAAACCAATGACTCCAAGAAAGAAGTAGTACTTCCAAGAGTGGCCTCAATCCCATATCAACCCATCAACGTGGACTACTTGCAGGAAGAGTTCAGTGGCCACGGCGTGACCTTCCAAGGCATCGGGGACGGCTGCGTCGCGAAGATGCGGTTGGAGAACGGGAGCACGGCCATCCTGATGCTGCCAAGTGGCTTGATCACCTCCTACAAGGCTGCCATGTGGCATGGAGGCACGGACGAGATGCTGCACTCATTTGTCACTGAGGAGATTGGTGGTGCTGTTGTTCATGGAGGCGTTTCTTTGGCCTTGGAGTTTTCATGTGGGGATGGAGTTTCTTGGTCGCCAAGCAACTGGGTTCTTCAGACCATCAAGGGAAATTCTCAGGATTCAATTCAGGTGTTGATTTTCTCCTGTTTCTTAAGAAGCAAACCATTAAAAAAATAATAATAATAATAACAAATTTATCTGTGTCGGTCATGTTCACTATGTAGATTGTATGTAGTAATAATTTATTGGTAAAGTAGAGTATAATTAGCTCCAAAATAGGTCTGTTTTGTTAATATTTATGTTTTGGGATTCAAAATAGGTGTGATGTTTATGGAGAGAAGGACAAATTAGGTGTATAATCATTTAAATCTGGTCTTACCGTACAACGCTTTTTCAGGTGTTAGATGATGATTAAAAAAAAAAAACATTAGCATCTTTTTTTATTGTTTGGTTCAACCCGACAAAAGCAGTTCAAATCTTAATGGGGCATAGCAATTTGCCCATCATTCAACACCTGATAAATTGCTTGCACAGTACTTTTGTGCTGGTTTCAAGTAGAATACAGATAGGATAAAGGAAATTGTAGAGAAAATAAAAATAGTTTTTAGGTAAGTCTTTGTTAGTGGATTTTTGACTTTGTATTTGATCTCATACCAATAACATTACATTTCGAGTTCAACCATAAAATGCAAATGGGGTCAGACTTAAACTTACTTATAGAGGATTTTTGTAGTATATTATTGAAGAAGTATTTCAAGTTAAGATTCAGAACTAGTTACAACTTTACTGTAAGTGAAATATAAAGGCCTTTCTTGGCAAGCCTTTTGTTTATCAAAAATTAAAAGGCCAAGCATTACCAAGCTAGATTTCTTCATGTTTTCTCCCAAAAAAAAATCGACTTTCTTGTTTTTATAAATTTGAGCCAGTCCTTAGAGTGGAAATCATTATTCATTAATCTGAGAAATGCAGGTAGAACTTATCAGCACTGATTCAGGAGAGAAAGTGGAAATAAAATACATTGTGACTCTCAAAGAAGATGAGTTAAGCTCAGATCTCGTGATCTCAAATTCTAGATCTACACCAGTCCAACTTACTGGATGTGTTTTAAGCCATCTAAGAGTGAGCTCACCAGAGGCGACCTATGCAATCGGATTAGAACGATCGAATTTCTTTAGCCTACCTCCATTCATGTCGAACTTTGGTATTGTTCCTCCGGACTTTGGCCAGGAAAACGAATCTGGATTTAGCCAACTGCTGAATAAGATGTCATTCTGGCGTTCAAGAAATGGAAACAATGCTGATGAAACAAAGAGCGATGGAAACGAATCTAAAGAAGAAATGGAGGGTGAAGAAACTGACAACTACAAGAATTTAAGAGAGGAAATGAGTCGAATATACACTATTGCACCCCGGAACATGACACTCATTGACAGGGTACTTATATTATAAACTCTAAATCGTCTTTTCAATTTTGCACGACACTTGCAATTGAAATAGTTATTTTGACAGATCTCCCATTCGTTTTGTTCTGTATCTGATCTTCATTTGGATTCTTTTACAATCTGTGGTTCAATTCTCTGATGCATGTGCATACCTGTCTTAATGTAGCTTGGTATTCGTTTGGTCTTAGCATCACAAAGCCTCTGCATAAATGGAACTAAAAACTTAAATTGAAAGCTTTCTTGGAGCTGCATCTTTCTGAACTCTGTTAAAAGGGCAAGCAGATTGATCCCATTTGATTTAAGAATTTCTTCCTGGGGATAGTTTCAATTTAAGGACTTAAGAAAACATAATCAGTTTCTATGTGGTAAAGAAAACATATAATTATTCGTTACAAGAACATGATTTAGAAGCCACATAAGCAAACTTTGAGAAACTTCTAAGAGCCATTCCTTGAACTGCTTATAATAATTTTCTTTCTTTCGCTTTATTTGGTATTTTGATTTTCCCCTCAGTCTGATCATTGACATTTCTTTCCTTTTCTATTTTTGTTGTAACAGGGTAGAAGAAATTCAGTGATAGTGGGAAGAAAAGGATTTGATGAGTTATACATGTTGAGTCCTGGCTCTAGTCATGAGATTTATGGCAAGTATTCTTATATATCAGTCGGCCAATCAGCCATGCTTAAACCGTTAAACGTGCGCACTGAAGAAGTGTTACGGGTTGGACAGGACTTGTACAATCCAAATCTCTAAGTTATGCTTCATTGATCATTTAACTTTGAGTAAGTTTTATGCTTGTAAGCTTGTCAACAAAAGCAAGTTGATTTTGATGTAGAAACTGGAAAGTAATTCATCCGTATATTGTTATTGGATTAATCAAACTAACCAAAAAACTTTCAAAAATCACATCAGCTCATTCACTATAACCGAAAAAAAGTAATAAGAGGAAAGACCAATATTTCTTATATCTTCTCAGCAAACAAAATTAGCAAAGACAAATCCTTTCAAGAACAGTAACCGTTTACTATTTTTCAGTTCATTAAACACCTCTGGTCAGGTGTTAGGAAGTACAGTTACATAAAAAAAAAAAAGCTTTTACAGACTCAGAAATTCAGAAATAAAGCAATTAACTTGTAATCCTGATTTACACTATCAAAAGAATTTGATACACTATAAACAAGAAGATTAAGTTGGAACGAGATAGCAACCGTCATCTTGATTACTTAACCAAAAGACTGGAGTAAGTGCTACCAGTAGTGCAAAGGATAGTCCACAAACAAATTTTAGAGCAACCTTCAGACGAACGGTTTTCTTTTCAGAAATCACCTGATAAGGAACTTGCACATCAGGACCTATAGGAATGTCTTCTGTTGATGACACAGATTCAACGCCGTCTTGGAACTGCTCAATATCAGCATATAAGCTTTCATTCTCTCCGAATTCGTAATCATCAGGTAAAATACAATTTCGGTCACTTCCAGAACTGGGACTCCAGTCAAAATCACTGAAGGAATGAAATCTGGACCTCCTCACTTGTTTCTCAGGATATTCTGAGTTTATGTTACTTATATCCTGAAGAGGGTGAACAAGCTTCCTTGGAGTTCTAAAGATATTGTTGTCTTTATTAGTTGGAGTGCGCAACCTCTGATGCAAAAACGTAGCAAGCAATATATTAGTTCTAAGAAAAAAACAAGACATGAAACTACCTGTACGTTATGAGAATGACACAGTTCCAGAAATATAGGCTGTACTCTAAAGTTCAATTCACAGGGCCATCCAATTTATAAATAGAGATATGTTGCCTCAAAAAAAAAAAAAGGCAACAGCAAAACAATCGGGTATATTAGGTATCACGGCTTCAGTTTTATATAAATGGAATAAAGCAAGCAGCATGTTCAACTCAATGTTTAATTAATTGCTTTTCAATTATATTCTTGAACTAAAAACAATTCAGGAAGCGGAGTAATGTCAGGTTCTGAAGTAATTTCTTTTTACACATCAGAAAAAGTAACTCTAGACATGTGCAACTTACTAGAGGGCTGGATGCAGCGCTTCTAGAGATTCCACGTCTAGGATTGTTCTGCGAGAACCCTAAGAGTTCTTCACTGTTCTCTTTCATTTTAACAAATCTTTTGCGGTCAGATTGCTCAAAACATGTGTCAGAGACACTACTTGATCTAGCAATCCCTGAGAAGAAACCATCCTTGAGAGACACATCAACTCCTCCATTCTCATAACTCCAAAGCTTTTGGTCAACACTCCTGCAGTCACTATCCAAGTATTGCATGTCCTGCTTCGACAAGATTGGCGAATCAATCAACGAGTCATATTCAACAAAGGAGTTAAAGAATTGTGATCCAGGTGACGCAAGTACCGGAGATTGATCACCAGCACCCGATAAAGCTCTCCTTATGCGATTGTTTCCCCTACTAACATTAGATCCAGTCACTGAACCAGGACCTTTATGGGATTTGGACCCATTTTCTGAAGCTAATCTCTTTGCAGTTTGCAGTGCTTCAAAAGCAGCCCCTTTGATATATGCCATCTGATCACAATGACACTTCTCCATCTCCTGGATTATCAACTGAAGCTCAGTGCATATGCTCCAAGGATCCAAACACTTCATTAAAGATTTAACCATTTCAATGGCTGACAGTCGCTTTAGAGAATTCGCTTGTTCTATCCCAGTATTTAGGATCTTCAACCCAGACTGTACCAGTAACCTGGCATACGGTTCAAGTGCCACAGAATTACGTTTTGCTAGAGCCATAACAAGACCCATGTGAGCATTTGTCTCTGTATAATTTTCCTCTAGAGCCCCAGCCACATTTTGACAAACCTTGTTAACTATCTCATACGAAGCGAATCGCCAATTGTCATTTTCAACAAGAGCCTTTAAGCAAAGGGCAGCTCCTGAAGTGAGGCTCTCTTGAGAACCCAGGAGAGAATCCGAAAGAGGATTGCACAGTGAATGAATTACATGTCTCTTTCTCTCTTCAGGACTGCTTGCGTCAATACCATATCTAGCAATCGCGGGAACCACCTTTGAGCATGCCTGCTGCAGGGGAAAAGACCCCGCACTTGAAGCCAAGGTCTTGATTATGGACCCCATGATGTTGTCTATCAGTGGCACAATTTTGGTGCCATGAACGCGGGCAAGCACTTCGTAGAGAGAAATTGTACCTTCAACGGACAAAGAACCAGCTTCTTTATTTCGAGAAATTTCGGTAAGAAAGAGTGGGATTTCCTTTGAATCCATATCTTTCACAAAGGATTTGAGTGCCTTCATTGCTGCCCTGTGACTCTCCGCATCTTTGTCAAAATTTTCCAGCTCTTGCTGTAGTAGTGGGTTAAGACTCCTGCCCATAGATGACCTTAAAACAACGAAGAAAAATGAATTATTCACTTCAAAGTTGATGTCCAATAAGATGGAATTGGAACCATCACTATTGACTTGTTTAACAACATATTCAAATTCGAAACCTTGAATTTTTCTGACGCCTTGCCGTAAACCACAAAAGAAAATCTCAAAAAAGGACCCGAATTTTCGTCAACTTAATCCTTGCATCCAAAACTTCAGAAGATAAAATGAACCACCAACAACATGGATATGAAAATCATAAAAGAAGTATTTTACGCAAACAAGAAAATCCCTCACAAATTCACCATTGACACAGAACAGAAACTAAAATCAGAAATTAATAGAACAGATTACACGGCACCATATGCCAAATCACGACAATCCATTCACAATAATCTAACTCAAAGCTTCATTTTTTTTTTTTTTTCGAAGTTCCAATTTGCGAAAAAAATTCATATGAATTTCGTTTCCCAAATCAGGAGATTTTAAATTCAAATTATCAGATGAGTATCTCCGATCTTGCAATTCGTGACATAAATTAAAGAGAAAATCTCATTAAAACAAAACAAAAATTGAAGAAAACAAAGAAAAGGTTTCATTTCAGTTCAAGAACTCAGAAATACCTGCAATATGAATAAGCGTCAAAGAGCTCTCTTCTTCTTCTTCTTCTTCTTCTTGTCTTTGCAAGGTTAATTGTCGTTGAGAGAGAGAGAGAGAGAGAGAGAGGGAGAAGAGTAAAGTAACGTTCAGTTTCAGTGGGATTTTGATTTGAAGATGAATTCCGCGCGGAGATTTCGGGGTGTTTGTCTGATTGGAAATTTCTTTCTTTCTGAGTACTTTTGGGGTTTCCAGTGGGGCCTGTACCTTTGCAATTTCAAAAATCTTTTCTTCAAATTACACCGCCATCCTTGCTTGCCCTGCGGGCCCCCGTGAATTCAATCTTCTTGGACGATAACGCCTCTTCAAATTATAGTTTTTAATAGAAAATGATGAAAAATGGAATGCAATGCTTGACGTGCGAATTGTAAATTTTAAGTCTCGCTCATTTCACCGATTCGAGTTTTCAGTTTTAAGTTTTTACAGTAAAAAATTCTCAAAAAATGTCACATTTAACTTTTTCTGTTACAGTAAAAAGTTCTCAAAAAATGTCACATCTCAGCTCGAATTGAAAACTCGAATCCACGAAGTAAACGAGGCAATATTTAACTGTAAAAAGTACTTTTTAATATAATGCTATTTGCCGTATTAAATTTTTTATATGTTATACTTTGTAGTAAATCTCTCACTAAGTATAGTATATGAGAAATTTGTCATTTGATTGTTATTGGTTGAAATGTTTACTTTTTTATGTAATCAATGCAACTTTTGTATTTTTTAATTATTATAAAAATAAAAGTTTATTTTTACAACTTTTAAAGCTTAATGATTATAAAATATATATATTTAGCATTTAAAATAGCATTATGCATTGAAACAAAAATGAAAATAACATAAGTATGTCATACTTTTTAATGTTATATATACAATTGGCATTCTTATTTGTATTGAAAATGGTCTTTCGGGCATCACTAATGCAAAACACCGTTATTCATAAAAGGTGGGTCCCACTTTTGATGCTAAGCACCACCAATGCACTATAGCATCACTCAAAAAATATCATAGGTGTTCTCATGCCCAGACTTAGTGCCTTAAGAGTAATAAAAAATACTATAAATACTACTTAAGATGGTAAATAAATTATTTATGTCACTCCACTCAAAGATAAATCATTGTCATTCAATTAATAATAAAAAAACAAAAGATATTAATGACACTTAATTATTTAAAAAAATAAAAATTGTTCCAGAAAACAAAGTTAAAACAACTCTACTAATCACTTATTACATTAAAAATAGTTCTATAATCTCGTATAATCTCTTATAAAAAAAAGAGAGAGATTCATGTTGTTAAGACAAAAAAAAATGATGATAAGTTTGCTCGATGGGTGGGTATAAAAAGAAAGAATTAAAATCATTTTGGTATCATATGTTACGTCAAAACATCTCATTGGTACCCTATACTTTTAATAATATTAAAACGGTAATTTTACCTTTAAAAAATGTTCTTTTGGTACCCAAGACTGATTTTTAGAATATAAAATGTACATTCTACAATTCTCACTAATTAACAACAAATGAATATTTTTAAAAATTCTAAAAATGCTTTAAAATATTTAAAAAATAAAAAATTAGAATAAGTTAAAATGTTCTTAAAAAATATTTTTAAAATTATTAATTTCTATTTCATTAATAAAAATGACAATTTAGACCTTATGCGTCTCAAAAATCAATCTTAGGGTTCTGAAAGAACGTTTCTTTAAAGGTAAAGGTATCATTTTAGCATTATTAAAAATATAGGATACCAACGAAATATTTCGCTAAAACATAAGGTATCGAAATGATTTAATTCTAAAATGAAAATATAATACAATTTTTCTTAAGTACTTTAATTTGAAAATATTTTTTCGCTTGTTGCCTCGCTGAAATAATTTTTTTCCATGAAATGTGTTTAATATTTTTGAAAATATAATATTTACAGTTTAAGTATTTCATCCATTATAGTTGGTTTTCCTAATGAATTCTTTAGAGATTATTTGGTACATGTATTTAATTTTAAACTATTATTCTGCTATACTATTTTTTTCTTTTACAAAAAATTTGATTAAAAAAGTTTCCACATATACTTTTCTCACAAAAATTTGAATCAAAATCAAATTATGGTTTAAATACACTTACTAAACATGCCCTTAATTGTTTAAGTATTGATCCATGGAGCCTGCTTGAAGTTCTTTTGGCCTACTTCCTTTTGAGATCGAAAGTGTAAGTAGCAACTAGATCAACACCCACATCTCTTTTTTGGAAAAGGGACGTTTGGGAGGCATTTTCTGACACCATCAACGTTGGGTAGCTGGATCCTTTCAGAGGCTTGAACCTAGCAGTGGGGGGCTTCCTTTAGCACGGGTGGTGTTGTCTCCAGAGGTTGGCGACAGTTGTGAAGGTGAATCATTTGTTGCCATTTGATTGTCTCTTTTTATGGTTTTGCCGCTTGACTCTTGAAGCCTTCTTCCTTTCCTCGTGGTCCACTCGCCGACTGCGTCATTGTTGGAGGCTTACGCCAGCAATGCTTTGGGTTTTTGTTTTGCTTTATTATCCCACAGATCGGTAATCGGCATCTAATAATCTTGGAAAAATGAGAAAGATTAGTTAGATCAAGAGGAAGCTGGTGCTATAGGGGTTGAGCAAGAAAAGGCTTAGAGTGGGCAGTTGAGACCTTACTCAATTAGATTCGCACACTCAGGAGACATAACTACACACTTTCTTTCTAGAAGAGCTTAAGGATTACTTGTAGAAAAAATTGAATGCCAATCTATCTAACATAATTTGTTCATCACCGTTCTTAACCAAGACTCAAGTTAAGCTCCGTCTCGGAACCTTACTTTGTGTTTTGGAATGTAATAAAGGTGTGACAATGTTGTTCTCGCCACTTTTTGTTTATTTTTTTAATAACAGAGGTGGTTTCCTCACCGTCCGGTGTAGGTTATGTCTCCCATCCGGTTGAGTGTTTCTCCAATGTGTGGATTATTTGGTCAAGTTAGAATATTATCTGTGTCGTGATGCTAATGTCCTCTCTGAGTGGGGGTTAGTGTTTTGGACCTCTAGCTCTTGGAAGCTTATTTTGATGGGAGAAGTATTTTCAAATATAGCCTTATGTGTGCTCGATCTTAGTGTGCCGAGGTTATCTCTCATTCTCGAGCCTCAGGTGTACGTCTGTCTCTCTGTCAGGTCATTAGTCTTGTATTGTGTTGATTGTTTATATGTTTCTATTTAAATACAAGTTTTCCTTTCAAAAAAAAAAAATCTTAACTTTCTAATAATCTTACACTATTATTTTAAAATTTTTATTTTCTATATATTTTTAATTTAAAAAATAATTATAGACTGTGACAGAGCGAATATTTTATTTGAGGAGACATAAACTGAAAATGTCATAAATGTTATAAATGTTAATACTTTCAACTCCTACTATTATTAACTAGTTGAAAGAGCATTTTATACACGTGCATATTGATCAATTTATTGAATTTTTTATATGTGGATTAAATTTTGAATAGTTTGTTTTAAAAAAAATAAAAAAGTGTTTATTACTTCAAACTTCAACAAGGGCATATTAGAGAAAAGATATGAGAAAGGGTTTCTTGAAAAAAATGCTTAATTAGAGACATATTTGATAAATATATTTTTAAGATGTATTATTATTATTGTTATTATTATTTTTTTTTTTTTTTTTAGGCTCACTTGTGATAGAATAAAGATTATATGAAAAAATATTTTAAAAGGGATAAATTTGAGGAAAAAAACTTTTTAGCTAGAGTAAATTAAAGAAAGAAAATCCAATTAGGCACATTAAAAAGTATAAAATTTAATAGAAAAGGACCAAAAGAACCATCTAAAAGAATTTTTTAGATTGGAATTAATGGAGATCATATTTTGAAAATTTTGTTAATGAAGAAGGGCATAAATGAAAAAAAAAATACCTATAGAGAAAAAATTTCAAACACAAAAATTCAAGGGGGCCTCACCTCCCTCTGCCAGTGATTATAGGTTGGTTTCCATGTTTACATCCCTTCACTTAAAGATGCAAATGCTATATATGTTCAAGGTTAACGTACAAATTAAAAGTTGAATTAGCATTTCATTTGTAGATATTTTTCTTAATAAGAAAATATTAATTTTTTGTATTGATATATTGTTAAACATATTTAAGATTTCATGTGAAGATTTCACCCAAAAAAAAAGGAAAAAAAAAAAAAACGAATGTAAAGGTAGAAAATGTTTGTGTGACTAACAAGGAAGTGCCTAGTGTGAGAAGTGCGGATGAGATTTCGGCCGTTCAAAAGAAACCTAATGTAATTATTAAAAAAATAAATAATTACTTTGTTCAACCTCCTATGATACAGTGGCAATGTGATATTAAGCATAAATAAATAATAAGCAATGTGATATTAAGCATAAATAAATTATAAGCAATGTGATATTAAGCATAAAAAAATTATAAGCAATGTGATTTTAAGCACCACGACTATCGACTTCAGTCAAGTCCAATCATATATATACTTATGATCAGTCATTATTCTCTTGTAACATATGTTCGTATTGAATATGATTAGGCAAAATGAAATATTGCCAAAATTGATTGAGAATAATTCTTATTTTGTCTTTGTGCTAGATAGGAAATCATATGAACCAATCATTCTGAAAAAAGTAAAATAAACATATCTACAATGGAAGGATACTTTAAGACGAGATCTCACATGGAAATACCTAAATATTGGATTCACGCCAAAATTACAATTACAAATTCATTATTTTTGCCTTAAAAAAATTAGATTCATTAATTTGATATTTTCTTGAATTACTTGAAATAAGATCAAATCATGACAAGTTTATTTGCCATTAGAAAGAGAAAATACAGAAAATCTCACGCGATTAACTCGTGATCTAAAAGCTAATCGGGATTGATAAGGTTTTTTTTTCCGGCATTTGTCCTCTTTTTTCCTCTTTTAACTTACAAGTTTAAGTGGACACATGTTACATAAATACATTATAACAGAAAATGCTTGGTTACGGCGCGAGAACAACTCATTTATATATTATAATAATGAATCTAAACTTGGCGCGAAAGTAATTAATACGTAATACGACGTAACTACTCATTTGTAGTATGTCATTTCTCATCATGTATTAAAAAAAATAATTATGCAAAGGGAAAATCAACATTACACAATCTTTCAATTAATATGCATAGAAATCAGCCTCCTATTAAACTGCTCTTGAGCAATATATTTAGATCAAGAGTACTTGAACCATATGTGCATGTTATCAATCAACCAAGACCATATTAGAATCAATATTTGATCTGATCTCTATCTCTCTTTCACTCTCTCTCTCCAGCATAAGTGATTGATCTACTAATTTAATAACCAAGATTTAAGTCTCTTTAATGTAAAAAATCAGAATCCGTGATGAAATAGTACTAATTACTTCGAGTCAAGAAAACCACAGCAGACCACTAAATAATAGAGATATCAAGCGTATCAATCACAACTTATTTCAAAGAGCATCTGATAATTTAAAGTGAAATTAATCTTCTCTTTATTCAAATTAGTGTCTGTAAAGACCACTTTTCGTGTTTGAATCTTCGTAAACTAATTGTAGTTCAAACTCAAAAAGAATTGGGAAGGAATGTGTGGGAACATGACCTTTTTTTTCAACTTTTCTTTATAAATGTTCTAAATTTTGTTAAATTATTAGATGAATGGTCGTTTCTTTAAATTCTGATCAATCAGTTGTTTACTCAATATTAGTTGTTGATTCATGTTCATTAGAAAAAAAAAATTATTGATTCATGTTAGAAAGAGTCAAGCGTAGGGTATTAAAGGAAGATTAGCTCTATGAATCCTTTATTATGTATTATATGATATGCACAGCAAATTATATTCTCAATCAATTCTAATATGTGTAGCGATATATAATAATCTCTTTTTTTCTGATAGCCTTTTGATAAACCTCTGATTATTTCTTTCTTTCGAAATCCATGTAAAGAGAATCGGCAATTTAAAAAAAAAAAAAAAAAATATATATATATATATATATATATACATATATAAAAGAAAGGAAACGTACAGCTTAGAAGCACACGTTTCGTCAGTCAAAATTTTATATATATATATATATATATACATATATAACTTAAGTTAAAAAAAAAAACAAATGATCTCACTGACAACATTATTTGAAATTTAACAGATCTACGGACAAAAAGTCCATACAAATTAAACTAAATAAACTAAACAACATTACAGACAACAAGTTCATAGGAACTACTACAACATCAAGGCCAAACAATTCAATTACAACTGAAAACACAACATAAAATATGAAATAAATTAACTAAAGCTTGAGAGACAAATCAAGTCCTGCCGGAGCGTCGGAATGATTTTTCTTCAGAGGTTCGACGCCACGCCGCCCAAGATCAGCACCGCCGATTGCCGGATTTACTCCAACATTTGTACCGGAAACACCAAAGTTATTCCTTAGGGCACCATTTTCTTCAATCCTTGAAGAAGTAACACCACAAGTAATATTCCCTCCAAGCCCCAACCCACCACCAATATTGCGAGCCTGAAAGCCATCCGTGCTCAGCCTATGGTCGATAGGGCGGTGCGAGTTCATCGCGGCGGCTTGCCTTGACCACGTACTAGTACCGGCAATCTCGTGACCGTACCGGTAACCACCGGTGGCCGACCCCGACCACGAATAGGCCGAATTAGGCTTGTGAATCATGGAATCCATCCGAACCCCAAGCGATGACCTAAAGTTAGATCCGTACAAATTAGAGTGGGCCGGAGAAAAGCTTGAATAATAGGGATAGTAAGGGTAGTGTGAGCTACTAAGAGCCCCAAGATCAATCCCTTGGCGTCGTTTCGCCAAGGCACGCTCTTGTTTGTGGGCGTTTTGGTGCCCTCCAAGCGCTTGAGACGTTGAGAACTCTCTCTTGCAAAAGTTGCATGAGAAAACCCTAGTCTGCTCGTTCTTCTCATCGGAAGGCTCGTTGATATTGGACTTTAAACCGGAGCCAGGGCTCAGAGTGTCGAAAAGATTGAGTTCGAGCTTCGAACCGCCGATCGATTTGCCGTTCGAAAGCTTAAGATCAAGCAACAAACGAGAACTCGATCCAGGAACTTGTTCCGGTACTTCGGGTTCTTTCATTTTCATCTTCATGATCATCATCTTCTTGTTTTCATCTCCGTCCGAGGCCGCGGAGATGCTAGAGGCCTCGGAAGGGCAAGCTTCGGTACCAAGGCCGTCTCCCATGGAAGAAAGAAACTAGAGAGAAAATAAAATGATATTGAGTGATTGTTTGGCGGATATTGGGAGAGAATTCTCCCTCTATTTATTTAGGGTTTTGGAGTTAATGCAGTGTCTCCATGTTTGGAAGGAAATCCCATTTTACAGTTTTTGTATATATGCATTATACTTGAAAGGGATTTGAAGTTGATCATGACTAAGCTTTGGCTGAGATTTGTTCCATGTGATCATAATTAATTAAGTTTATTTGGCCTAATTAAATATTCCCAACACATCCAGAAAAAATTATTCTGTTTGCACTATTTGATTATGGCCAATTACTCATATATGGTCAAAGTTTCTATATTGTGAGTCCGAGATTAAGGGTGTCAATGAGTGCGCCAATTACCTTTTATGTAGTAATTTTAATTTGATATATATCAACATGGGAGTTTAAATGGGTCTACTAATTAATAGGAAAACAGATATTAAGTTACAGGTAATAAAAGAGTGGTTCTAATCACACACTCTTTTCTACTCTTTACACTCTCTTCTAAACACACACCCCACATCTATGCCCCGTTTTTATTGATATAAATTTTAAAATATCTCCATTAAATTCAAAATCCAATCTTAATATTTTTTTAATTAGTTGGTTTTTTTCTAATTTTCTTTTTGGTTCTTTCCTATTAAATTCTACACTTAGTAGTGTACCTAATTGAATTATTTTTCTCCAGTTAAAACCTTTTTTCCCAAATTTGTCCCTTCTAAAATATTATTTCATGTGATATTTATTATATCAAAAGTGAGTCTCACAAGAAAATTTTAAATGATCTTTCTCAAATACGTCCCTAAGCATTTTTTTAAGTAACACTCTCCATTACTATTTTCTCTTAAACATTTTTTCTTTATCAAGCGCATAAAGCTTATTAATTATGTCATTCACAAGAGCACGGCTAAGTGTAAAAGTACCTACAACCATTATAGTGCTAAGACTTTATAAGGCACAATATGCATGTGTTTAAAATGTGCTCCAACTAGCTAATAGTATTAGTAGTTGATATTATTAGCATTGATAAATTTTTCACATTTTTAATTTATGCCTTTCCTAAAATATAATCCTGGTTCCGCCACTGATTGGAAGGAGGGTGTGAAAAGTAAAAGGCGATGTGTGAATAACCAACCGTAATTTAATTGGTGCACAACAAGACACTCATATATAGTTTTGTTTAAGAGATTTACAAATTCCCCTAAAAAAAGATTTTTAAAGCCCTAAAATTGTGGATTAACATATATAATATGCTTTAGTTTGTTTCACTTAAAACAGATGAATATGAAGTAGTTTTCAGATATTATCGTAATCTATGTCTCCGAGGTTTTAGCCATTCCCAATATTGTCTATCTTGACTTTTCAAGAATCCACTTTGTAGATTATCATCTTCTAGATTGCGTAATCTCATAGAATTTTTTTTGTTTTTTAACAGCAATGAAATATATTCATTAAAGAGCCGTTAAATGGTTAGGATACAATGTAGCACTAAAGTTAAAGAAATGAGTGTCACTCACATAACTAGACAATACAAATGCTCTCCCATCACAAAAATGGAGAGGACTCCTCCACAAAGTGGCACTAGGACAAGGTTCGGCCACGCAAAAATAACTCAAGATGAGCCACTTCTTAGTCTAATAATAGACACAAATCACACAACTCAATCTTAGAGCGGTGGAGAAACCACCATCTATCTGAGAGACACACCACAGACATAGAATGGTGGATAGACTACCCTTTAAATGAGACAAAAGGTTAGTAGATGGAAAAACTATCATCGTTATTACAATACAAATATAAACAAAAATATAAAACACTAGAACATCTATAAAGATCCCAAAAGATCAATGTAACAAGATTGAGTCTCTCAACGCCGGAAATATGTGAAGACTGGTAAGACAGCTCTGGGAAAAGGCTCCCTCACCTCCGTCTTTCAACTAAACCTAGTTCCCATGGTTTTAGCGGGATCCGATAACGGATGCGTCATAGATCTGTGCTTGAAAAACAATGGCCTCTTCCCCTTACACGACTCCAAACCGGAGACTTCCCACACTTCTAATGGCACGAACTCGACCACGGTGACCTTTGCGACCTTCCTAGTGGTATCATACACATGGGGAAGGTGAACCACAACGCAAAACAAAACCCAAATCCGCCAAGATCCACCTTGCCCATGGAGGAGCACCACCCACCTACAAAACAAGGCAACAAAACTATAACAAAAAAAATATATAAAAAATAAATAAAAAATAAAAAACACACACACACACACACACACCCAGGAGGTTAGAGACGGCAAGAGGTCCCACACCCAAAACACAGTCTTGCCGGTGGCTTTTTGAGGGGAGAAACCCTAACCATGCAAGGGGGAGAGAGAGAAAAAAAGAAAGTGAGCGTGCCGTAAGACCTTGTTCATTTCTACTTGACGTTATTTTTCTCGATTTTTTTGCTACAATATAAGGTAGCTTGCTTACTTAGCGCTTGCACTAAGGATCTAATTAGAGTCAAACTTGGATTTTTTTTAAAAAAAAAAAAAACCTTTCCCTTATTAGCCGGAGTACAAGTGTACTCCTTGATCTTTAGTAAAGGCGGATTAAGCAAAAAAATATTTTTTTTTTCCAAATAGTCTCAACGTCCTCATTAAGAGTCGCTTTGCGAGACGTCAAGTAGTCTCTGACTTGGTCTTCGAACAGTAAGTTTCAGCCCGTTCCCTTAATCTCATTGAATTCAGCTGTCATATATAGCCGGAGTACAAATGTACTCCTTGATCTTTAGTAAAGGCGGATTAAGCAAAAAAACAAATTTTTTTTTTCCAAATTGTCTCAACGTCCTTGTTAAGAGTCGCTTTGCGAGATGTCAACTAGTCTCTGACTTAGTCTTCGACTAGTAAGTTTCAGCCCGTTCCCTTAATCTCATTGAATTCAGTTGTCATATATTTTAAATTGTTAATATTGTGAGATTCTTTTTTTCTTACTATTTCTATTAACAGTTGTTTTCATTTTCTCATTTACATTAATGTATCACCTTCAATTAATCTGATTATTATTTTCTCATTTTCTCACGGGAAAAATGGGTCCAATTAATAATTTAACATATAGGAAAACAAACATCAAAGTTGCAGGTAATTTTGGGCTCATTTAGTTCGTTGATTCGAATTTTTAATTTGAGTTAAGATTGACTTTATGTGAGAGTTTTTTTATTGTAGCAAAAAATTAAATGCGACTGTTTTTTAAAATTTTTTACTGTAACAAAATTTAAATTCTAAATTCAAATCGGTGAAATTAATGGACCTTAAACTCTTTAATAAGACACTCACACATAGTTTTGGCAAGAAGATTTTCAAAGCCCTATCATATAGTGGAGCATGTTTTCATATAAAAAAATCCTGCTATACAGCTTTGCCAAAAAAAAAAGCTCCGCGCCAGCTCCGTATAGACACAAAGCACGGTGGGCCCCACCTGCTATAGGTTTAAGGCATGCGGAGTTAATTTGATGGGGAGCCGAATATCTTTTCTTAAATTTTTAATTCGAGTAAATTTAATTCGAGTTGAGATGTGATTTTATATGAGAATTTTTTTATTATAATAAAAAAATTAGATGTAATTATTTTTGAGAGTTTTTTATTATAGCAAAATTCAAATTTTAAACTCAAATCAGTAAAATGAACGAAGATTCGAATTTTGAATCTCAATTTTATTACAGTTAAATTTTAAAAAAAAATCATATTTAATTTTTTTTATTACAATTAAAAACTCTCATATAAAATCATATTTTAACTCAAATTAAAATTTTAAATCAAGAAGGAGGGTCAAAACATTCCAAACGGTTACAAAGTTATTTATATACTTGGTTTAGCGCATGAAAGAAATATATATTCAAAACCAGTCCTTTGCTATAAGTCGTATATTAAGTGAATATCAGTGGCAACGAATATCAGCCAACTGTACTTGAATGACTAATTACCTTAAAAAGCTCATATATATCTGCTCTGTGTTCATTCCTTTTTATATCTTTCTTTATTTAGAGAAAAAAGGAATTTCTATGTATTCTTATATATATATATATATATATATATATATCAATACCCGATTTCTTCTAGAGGATTCAGGATAGATTATTATCTGACTTGCTTAGTTCGTTGATTCGAGTTTTTAATTTAAGTTGAGATGTGACTTTATATGAGAGCTTTTTACTGTAGTAAAAAAGTTAGACGTGATTATTTCTGAGAGCTTTTTACTGTAGCAAAACTCGAATTCTAAACTCGAATCAGTGAAATGAACGGGGAAATTTTTCTAAATAATGCTTTTAATTAAGAGGAGAACTATATCAATTAGTTTCAACTTTCAAACAAGTCATAGTAGCAATATTGTTCATGACTCGGGTATGTATTCCTATAGGAAAAGAAAATTATGGGCATACCATATATGAGAATGAAATGTATTTGTTTAGTTTGTTCAATTCTACCAAAAAAGTCGGCCCAAGATTGTGAGAAGAAAGAATGTTATGTTGCCTTAATCCTTAAACCCAATACATATCAGTAATCATCGCATTAAATTATCAAGAAAATAAGTTAGAATAAATACATGTTTTTATTGATGCAGTCTTAATCTCCAATAGAAAATCTTGTTGACAACGTGTTCTTGAAGTTATAGCATTCCTCAATCAAATCACTAGATTCTTGAATGAGTGCTTTCTCTATCTCTTGACGAGGAAGAGTGAAAACATATCGTATGATTTGACGTATTGGGATCATAACTAAAAGTTTCTTAATAGATTGTCCCATTAGGCACCCATTAAACCTTATTAGGTCAATATTTGGTATCCATCTATTTATTCCATACCCAATTAAGAAACTTATTGGATTTTCCTAAATTGACCATTTGATTTGTCCAATCAATTTAAATAGCGGTTATATAATTATCAATTAATACGTTATTCATAACAAATAATAGAAAATAAAATTTCCTTAACATGTTAC